CAAAAGTAACCTACAAGTCCATACTGGTGTGGGAATTTTCCACCTTGGGAAATTTTATCAAGCGATACACTTGTGATCTGTGCCTTTTTTTTATATGTATGTTATTGTAGGGGAGGCAAAATAATTTTCCCTCTACGCTTCTAGGTTCTTGGCTGAGACCCCCTGCAATAAAGGACAGATTAATGGGAGAAAAAAACAAATAGAAACTTAATAACAGGTGTTCCTCCTGTCTGTGTGGAAGACAGACAGGAAAACTGAGAAACTCTCTCGAAAATGGCCCAAGCCATCAATTTAAATACCTAGGCCAGCTAAAGACAAAGGAAGGCCTTGGGGGTGGGGAGTCACCAGGAAAAGCACAGTGAACAAGAGTGAGGTTGTTCAGCACATTTATATCATCCTGACCTTCTCCAACTGATAAGAGAGTCTAGAGATTGAGTCAGCCCCCTCTTCCGGGTACAGAGAGGGAGACACCCTTAGGAATGGAGACTCCCCTCATAAATGCAAATGTCTCTTACAATAGGGTCACTTCTACTCCGTTTTCAAAGTGTCTCCTATATTTGCTGTTTCTTAGAAATAACCAGCTCAATAGAGTCAATATGCCAAAAAGGCGTGCTTTGAGGTGGCATATTCTGTTCTCCTTCGTTATACTTTGATCTAAAAACAAAAGAGACTCTAGCCAAATTTCAACATTAAAGAGTAAGCACAAGCCTTACACACACACACACACACACACACACACACACACACACACACATTTGGGAGAAATCACCCTCCTGTCAAGAAGTTCATTGTGCTGCAATGTCCGTGGGGGAAATTCACCAATCTGTGTCCTGCCTCTTATTGTGGTAATGAGCGTTTGAAATACCTCTGTCTCTGAAAAATTGAGAGATTGGTAATGGTGTGCAATTGGCACATCTGCAATAGGCAGATTTCTCCTGAAGCTACCTGATCCCCTTACTGTCTACCCCACTTATTCTTACCATTTTTTTCTTTATTTTTATTGAAGTATCATTAACATAGAGTGTTATTAGTTTGAGGTGTACGATATAATGATTCAACAATCCCACGCATTATTCAGTGCACACCAAGATAAGCGCACCCTTCATCCCCTTTATCTGCCCTACTCACGTTGCCGGGTAAACCAGGGGAACCCCAGGCCCTGGGGCCTTGACCCAACCAGACCCCAAAGAGTCTCAGAAATTCTTGGTCTTGTCAGGAGAATGAATTCAAGAACAGACACACAGCACAGTGGACAAGTTACATAAGCAGGAAAGTTTATTAAAGGTAAACGTATACTCTTGAGAGAGGAGAACGGCCAAGCTTGAGAGAGAGAGAGTGCAGTGTACCCTGGGGGGGTGGGTTTCTATCTTTTATTGACAGTTGTTAACTAGGGGGCAGAATATTTATTACTTGGGGCAGGAAGCAGGGTTTCGAGTTTTTTCTTCCTTGTTTGGTCAGGGGTTTCCTGTCATGGCATCCGCCATCTTGGGCCTGTCTGGTTTGATCCGGATTCTTGTGGACGGCTGCCAGGACCTTCCCAATAGTTGGCCATGGCTTCCTTGTTGCAGACCTCCAGGTCTCCTGTTAGACCCTAACTAACTGCCTACTCCAACATTTATTCTTAATATTTTTTAAGATTTTATTTATATATTTGTCAGAGAGAGAAAGAGCACAATCAGGGGGAAGGGTAGAGGGAGAAGCAGACTCCCTGCTGAGCAAGGAGCTCAATGTGAGACTCCAGCCCAGGACCCTGGGATCATGACCTGAGCCAAATGCTGATGCTTAACCGAGTTAGCCACCCAGGCATCACTTCTTAATTTTTTTTTTTTAATTTCCATTTCCCTACCTGCTTTACTCCCAGAAGCATCATGCAGAATCCAGTGCGGACTCCAGCCACTCCTTCCCTTCTCTAAGGAGCAAGTTTACAGTCACACACAGCAGACCATCCCATGAGCAAAATTATGGGCTCACAACATCCCACTCTTTATGCATCTCTCCATCCTCAGCTGCATCCGAACCATTTCTTCCCTACTGCTGCCTTCTCTAGAATTAATTAATTCATCAAATATTTATTGAGAACATACTATGAGTCGTCATAGAAACTGGGAATACAATAGGCAATAATGTCCCTGCTCTCGTGGAATTTGCAGTCTAGCGGGAGAGGAAACAATATTGAAACCCGCACCACTAATTTTTTTCAAGTAGTGATATCTGCTTAGAAACTAAGAACAGATCAAGAAAACAAATGATATGGAACCGGCCATGTGAGGATCTGGAGAAAGAGCACATGCCAGCTCCTTGTGGAAACATATCACACGTGTAAATTTGCTGTAATCGAAGTCCCAGGTGACTGAGACCGCATCTGTGTGTGTGGTTCCGTCACTCTTGTTTCTGTGGCTTTCCTGCTTATCCCATGCATCTGAAGCGAGTGCCCGCCACACCACAAGCATTTGGCACCTGTTTGTGGAGGAAATGAACAGGCAAAATGGCAGAAGGACAGAGGGGGCACAAGTCAGAAAACACAGAGCCGTGAGGGCCAGAGAGCACGTTCCAGTGTATTCTAGGGGCTCGGGAACACAGTGCAGGCTGTTCAGTAGAAGGGGGTGGCTCTCCCTTATGTTTGGGAAGGTCCTTCTCTCTGCTTAATGGCAATAGGGAAGCCTGTGTGGAGATGCTTCCTGTTTGAGCCTAACCTCCCAGCAAAGGGTCGGTGACGCTGTAGGTAGCGCCTTTACCCTAGGGTCCGGCGGTGACCCCCGTGTCCTCCAGTCCAGTGCCCCCCGACCACCACCTGTCCTCAGATTAGAGTTTCCAGACCCAAAGTGACAGGCTATTCAGTGACAGAGACCGCTGCCTTATCACCTCTTTGCCCTAGAAGTTTGAGTTGTGTTGCTCCCTGTAACACCCCCTTCTCAAGGGACCCTCTGCCCTTCGAGACCAGCTGCCCACCGACCCTGGCCTTCTGTCCCGCGGCCCCAAGCAGACGGGTCACCGAACTCCCTCGCCTTTCCCATTTCCTGGTGGTTTCACTGTAGCATAAGGCCTGTCTTTTTAGGTTGACTTCCTCCCCTCTGAGTTTCCGATATCCTCCTAAAAATCTGAGTGAGGGTCTTCTGCCAAATTCAATTCAAATTCTTCTGCCCACCATTCTGTTACTGCTCTAACAGGCCTGGAGTCCTACCAACCCCCTTCCTGCCACTGTAGGTGGAGAAAGTACAGACCTCTCCATGAAGGAGCGTCTTTCTCTCCTTGTGGCATTTAGAGCTCTGAGGGGACAACCTCGTTTCCTCTCCTGCACATTCTAAAGGAAATGAGAAATAGAGATAGGACTCAAATAAGGATCACAGCACCAGCCTTGTCTTGCAGCAGGCCAAGAATGCAGCTGGAATCCAAAGTAAGAAAGGCCTTCCTGAAACCCCCCTCCCCCAGATCTAAGCTCCGAGACAACTCAGCAAGGAGAGCCTCTATTTACTTCTCACCTGGTGGAGAGGGAAGGGTCCCAGAGCCCCAGGGAAAGCTGCCATGTGCATATGACACTTGACCTTGAACTGTGGACCAGTGGATGTCAGACTTGGGAGAGATATCAGCACAAGCCCCTCCTCTTCCCAAAAGGAGGAGTCTGTCAGAGGCAGATGGAACCTTCCCCTGCCTAGGACCCTTCTCCAAAAGAATCCAAGACCTGGTCTTGCTGAATCAAGCTGCTATGATGTCCTCTCCAGCATTCCTTACTCCACTGATAGAGAAATGAAGACCCAGATGACTGAATAAGTGCACCTATGACAGTGTGGGACGATTGGTGGAAACTGGGGGAGGTGGTGGTGGTCACTTGGACGGGGAGCTGCAGGCTGTTGGGGTGGGTGCTGTATGGCCAGGACCTCCTCCTATGAAAAGGAGTCCCCAGGTGGCCAGCTGAGGTTGTCAGGGTCTAACTGTGGCCAGGTCAGCCGGCAGGGGTTCATGCTAGCCTTGAGCAGCAGGATGACGGAAAAGTACTAAGACATGAAAGAACAGTATTTAAGGCATGCAAAAGATTTATTTCAAAAAGATTAATGACAGGAACATTTAGAAAATCTGATGCAGCATGACGCTCTCAAGCAAACTGAAGGAAACAGGGACTTGATGAAACGTGAGTGTTAAAAGAACATACTAAATCCAAGAAGGAATTCCAGACAGGCTTAAAACGCACTGTGGGATTTTCAGTGGCATCAGAAATAGGAAGGATCCCAATATGCCAAACAGAAAAATGAATCAGTGATGCGGAGGAAAGGCTTAAAAAAGTGAAAGCTCACATTATAAGGATGAGGCACACAGGTAAGAGTGCTTTGTGTGATGGTAGACAAGGAGGAGAAGTAATAGATATATCACACAGTGAGAACTGGTGGTCCTGAAGAAAAAATAGAACAAATGAAACAGAAACAACAACAAAACACTTTTTAGATTTTTAAATCTTCAAATTGAAAGGATTAAAGAATTAAAGATCATTCTAACTTATAATGACCACATCCTAATGGACGGTGGGTCAAAATGCTTGAAAAACTCTCCTCCTGGATTATGCAGTTAATTCTTTAAAGCACAATCAAAGGGGGTAGGTTTCCCTTTAAAGGGAAATGCAAATGTTAGCAGGGCTGCAGGTAAACACAGGCAGTCTTCCAGGAGAAAAAAAAAAAGTTGGCTCACTTGCTCCTAAACATACTGAAAACGCATGGCTCTCTACCTTGACCAAATACTGGAATCCCTTTGATGCTTGGGTCCCACTCCCAAAAATCAGATTTATTTGGCCTTGGGTATGGCTTGGTAATTCTATGAAAAGCCCCTCTTCCCTGCACTGTCCCTTGTGCTGAGGAAAACAGGGAAGAGAAGGCAGAGGTAAATATGGCCCCCCAAGGCCCCAGAGCTATATGTGTAGGAAAGCGATGCCTCAGAGCCAGGGACAGGGCAATGTAAGGTGCGACCCCCCGCCCCCCCACCAGGGAGGCAACTTCAGCACAGACAAAAGGGGCTCAGGACCACAGCTGGTTCTTGAGGAACACTTCACCTCATTTTTCATACTTCAGGTTCTGCCAGTTCAGGAAGTTAGGGCTGAAGACCCCACCAGCGTGGACGGTGCTGATACCATCTGGCAACAGCACGTAGTCCCGCATGTTCACGTCTCCAATGTCTCCCACCAAGGACTGGTTGCTATCAAAACCCCCACCGAATGAATCTTGCTCCTGCCCTAGGATGATGCTTGCTCCTGCCCCCACAGTGTACCCCTTCTCCGTACTCATCCTCACCATGGGCTTCCCATCCACCCAGAGCTCTGTAATCCCCGTGCTGGACTCCCAGGTAACACAGAAGTGCTTTGGTTTGTAAAAGGTCTCAGAACCCTGAAGTAGATGTCAGATCCACCCACAGATACGCTGTATAAGCCAAGCTTTTCCCTGAAGAGAAGGATCTCATTGTACTGCGCCCTGGTGGCATAAGAGAAGAGGCTCTAAGGGCAGGACAAGGCGGTGTAGGCTTGTAGGCACATGGTGAAAGCTTTCAGCGGCTTCTGCACCGGAGCAAACAGGGTCACAAAGGATGTATCTGATTCTCTGGGGAACACAAAGGCCTTTCTGTATGTATCTGTCGGATAGAAAACAGAGAGAGAAAGTGTCAGCAGCTGAGTTATGTTTAAAAAAAAAAAATTCAGATGAGTACATTTAAAGATCTAGTTGGCTTTAGTCACTGATTCACGAATCAGGCGGCATCCCATCTAGCAGATAGGAAGGAGCTCTGAGGAGCTGTGTCACAGAAGGTTCAGGAAGAAAATGTCTCTAGCAAAGAGGAGATTATTTCAGGCAGTCACCTTCCTATGGGGGAAGGAAGGACTGCTCTCAGCCCAATCACTAGGGCTGAGTAGGTGATTCCAGATTGACTGCATAAAGGTTACACTCCAAGGGGAGGCTGGCCCTTCAGTCAGGTTAGGTGTTAAGTCTTGGTTTGCTGATGTGGGACTTAACCCAATGATTCCATTGGGGCCAGTGGTCTCTTTTTTAACAGTTTGTCAGGCCACGAAGATGTATTCTCTCTGTATGTATGGATAGAACAGATTTAGAAACCAGATCACCCTCATCCCCAGACCACCACCTCTCCCCCATGCTGGCCATTTTCCCTGTGGCTTTGCAGAGTCTAGCCCAGAGACAAGAACCCAGTGACCATCTGAAGCAAGGTTATTTTTCAATTGCCTACCTCCTTGGAAAAAAGCACCAGTGAGGTTAACGATGACCAGGAGACACAGCAACAACTTATCCATGTTTCCTCCCTGTGGTCACTGTGTGCAGAATCTGGTTATCGCCCTGGAAAGATCAGCGGCTGAGATTCCCATCTTGGGTCTGTTCCCCCTTGACCTTTTATGGGCTACAGTCAGTGTGCCTCAGCTGATGGGTAAATGATTTTCCAAAATCTCCCCATGGAGCCGTGAATCAAAGCTCGAAGAGCAAATAAACCAAGATAAATCACAAAATGAGAGATCAATGCGGGTTATTTATTAGAGACTCTGCAGTGCCTGCTGTTGCTCCAACAGCCTTGTGTGGCAGTGCTTGGCAAATTACAACAGTCACATTCTGGAAATCCAGTCTTGGGAAATGCTCTAAAATATCAGCGGTGGCCTGGGGGGCAGAGGAGGCTCTACTCACAAAGACAACCATGACATTACTTAGGAGAGAGAAATTAGAAAATCGGGGCATGTTGAAGGAAACCATATGTATCTACATCCACTCCATAGAATGGATGGCCATTCACAATGCGAGTTGTGACTTTTATGCTACAACCTGTAAAAATGCTTATGAGACTATAAAGAGAACAAATAACATAAATTTGTTTATACACTATTTTTTTAAAGAAGTAACTTGCTTGAAAAAAAAATCTATAAGGAATACCCCCAACAATAAGTGTTCTTAACATAGTAATGAAATTATGAGGGGCTTTTTCCCTCATTAACAACATTTCTGTAAGGTGGTTACATGACTTCTAAAACGAAGTGTGTGTGTGTGTGTGTGTGTGTGTGTGTGTGTGTGTATGCATTTAATGAAGAAGCAAGGAAAGGGAGAATGGAGATCAGTAGTTCTTGAAGCTCCAAAACTACTATTTCATTTTATCAACAGGATACCCAGTCTGACTGTGGCTATTTAGCTTTACTCCCAAAAAACCTAGAACGGAGAACAAGATCAGTATGACATCCTGATTTTGTATTTTGCAGTACATAATTTCTATATAAAACATTATAATTTCATGTGAAAAGAATCTTGAGCTTATTCGTCATGGTCTCATCATGACTTTTCCCATAGATATTCAAGGAAAAATTGGTAATAAGGGTTATTTTTCAATCAACTGGAAGAACCAACCATCATGTGGGTAGCTTATTCCAAACATACAAAGTAATGGGACCATCACAAACGGTTAGTACATTTCTGGAAAACTTTGTTTTTGTTTTTGTTTTTAATGATCTGCAGTTAAGGGGCACCTGGGTGGCTCAGTCGGTTGAGTGTCTGCCTTCAGCTCAGGTCATGATCCCAGGGTCCTGGGATCGAGCCCCGCATCAGGCTCCCTGCTCAGAGGAGAGTCTGCTTCTCCCTCTCGCTCTCCCCTTGCTACTCCCCCTGCTAGTGCACTCGCTCTCGCTCTCTCTGTCTCTCAAATAATAAATAAAATCTTTTAAAAAAAATAATATGCAGTTAAATTTGCTTTCAAATGACCCTCCCCCCAAATTTTTGCATCTTATTTTTAAATTTTAAGATTGGCTTCAAAAGATTTTCTTATTTTAACCACTTGCCCAATTAAAGATAGATGCATAATTTGAACAGAAAAATATATATAATAAGTACAAGATTGGGACCCAGAAGGAAGAGGGGTTTTCCCTGTGCTCAAACTGCCTTCTTGTTTGCACTGGGCTCCCCGGGTGAGTCCAAAGAATGCAAGTACCAGTAGGATGGGTGGATACTATGGAAATACATGGATTTCAAGGAGCCCAGCACATTGTCAGAAAGATCTCCAAAATGGATATTCTGAACAAGGCTTAACATTGAAAAACAGTGAGATAGAGAGACATGGAGATAGGGAGAGGGTGGGCTAACGCAATGAAAGAGAAGAGAAAGGACAAGGAAGAAGGACTCTAAGCCCTCTGCAGTGAGTGTTTCAAAATCAGCTTCTGGTTCCAGTAACCTGCTGGACAGCATGGTGACCGCTCACCGGGTCTGACCGCGGCCATGAACCTCATTAGGGGAGAGGTGCAGTTAAGTCTGCATGCCACGCGACCCTTACTCCAGCCTCAGATGTGTTTGCTTGGAAGCTCTCTGCTCCCTTTCTCCTACAGTTCACAGCGCTCCAATAAAAGCCCTGAAGGATCTCAGCCTTTCCCCACACCTTGGCACTTTGGTTTCTCCCCGATTTCAAGTTCCAGGGGATGAGACAAACACCTCAAACTGCAGCGATCCAAAGTATCAATTGTGGGAAAAGAAGAACATTCTAAGACAAACAGAATGTTTGTTATCACAGTGCAAGTCTACTGAATAAATAAAAATTTGTTGGATGGTAAACATAGGGCTATCATTTTATTTAATCCTGGAGCAGCTAGACGCTAGACTCCAGGGGCTGAATAACGCATTTGGTGTGCTCTCCCAGTTCAAACAGAAGCCACTGTAATGTGAGAGAAAGAGGAAGCAAGGGGCACAGCAGGGAGAAAGAGCCACACAACCAGAGACAACAGCTGTCTTCCCGAAGCTATCACTCAGCCTAGAACCAGGGTTCCCCGGCCCGCACTGGTAGAGACGGGCTGCACGTTGCAGTCACTGAAGGATCTTTAAAAATTCTGCTGCCTGGGTCTCACCACCAGACTATCTGCTGTAGCCAACTGTGGTGTGGCCTGGGCAACTGGATTGTTAAAATGCCCCCAGACATTACAATACAAGCATCTCAAGTTGAGAATCACTGGCCTCGAGGATTTTTCATATGCTTCCATGCCCTGGGTAAAGTCTCCCCAGGATATGAGATTATGTCTACCAGCATACATGGCAGAGAAGGTGGGGGTTTCCAAGTCACAGAACTTTGACAGGTGTCACGGGCATACTCTGCCTAATGTCTGTGCTGATGCTGAGGCAGAGCAGAATTTTTATGCGCAAGCCATTCTCCTACACTTGCCAAGGCTTGTCACCGTGACCAATGGCCTACTATTTCTGCCGGACACATTTCCAACAAGAAAATGAAAGCCAGGGAGATTGCCAGGACCCCAGAAATGGTAGCCAACAGCCTGGAGGCATGGAGAGACTTTCCCATGAGGAAGCATGCCCACACCCCCATACCCTCTTTCCTCCACCAGCCGCACGAGTGCAGAGGATAAGCCTGTGCTGCCAGGAGCAGTTTAAAAGCATGGCCCCCACAGCAGACCACTTGGGTTCCATCCCAGCCCTGGGCAAGTTAATTAACTTCTTAGGACCACAGTTTCTTATCTGTTAAATGAGGACTATAAAATAGTATTACCTCATAGCATTGTCATGGAACAAATAAATATACGTAAAGGACTTCAAACGGTGCCCGGAATGTGGTAAGCAGTCCTCAAAAGACATTTTTAAGACTCTGCCTTGAATGATTAAGCAATTATCATCCCGGGAATGGGAGTTTATGAGATCACTCATCTGAGTGTACAAAAGGATGTGGGGTAGAGGAGGTCTTACTGAATGGGTTCTCAAAGAATGCACCAGAGGTAGGCTAAGGGATAACCTGAGTCAAGATGTGCTAGATCCTTCTTTAAAGATGACCACCTGCCTTTAAGCTTACTGGGAGCCAGTCATGTCCCCCAAATAAGACATCTGAGCTGCCAGGAAGACATTAAAGTGAGGGTTCCAAAAACATATTGGGCAACTGAGCTTGTGAATTGCAGATTCCTGGGATCTAACTCTGGAGCATCTAATCCAGTAGGTTGGGGTCAATGAATCTACACTCATAATGAATACCCCAGGTGGTGATGATGCCTGTAGTCCACAGGCCACAACCTAGCCAGGCCATCCAGGTGGTGCAGGAGAAGTGACAAGGTGCATGGATGCGACAGAGGCGGGGAACTGCAGGGAAGAAATCCCGCCTCCGAGCCTAGAAGTTGCTTATCTCAGATAAAGCTATTCAGAAATCAAAGCCACACTTCTGGGATTCTACGGATCAGAAATCTATACTGGGGGTGCTTGATTTGGGTATTTGTATTGTTGTTGCCGCTGTTATTGTTGATGTTTTAAGGATCTGGAGTCAGTTGCTATTTTTGTCAACCCTTGCACATCAAACCCCGGGGGGGGGTTAAAAGCATGGGGGAAAAATTCACATACTTAGCATCCAAACTGCTTTGTTGCCTGGGACTCCAAATCCATTTCCATCAGGCCCCAACCCCACTTCTGAGGCAGCCTGCAGTCCCTCCTCCAGGCCCTGGATGGACCTCAGAGATGGGTCCTCATCCACTCATCTGACTGAAGGCCATGCAAGGCTTGTCACCATGACCAATGGCCTACTATTTCTGCCAGACACGGGGAGATTTTTGGTACCTGATCTGCACGTCCATGGGTGCTCACACTGGGATCAGGCCTGGCCCTGACTCTTGTCAACATGGCTACTTTCCGTCCCCAAAGAAAGTGTCCTATCAGGTAGCAGCCTCCAGCATCTCCCTATGATTTTACATTTACAATCTCTGACATATATGATTGAGCTACCCCCTCTTCTTTGGCCTGGAAAGGTGCTGCAGTATCTCTTCAGGGGCTGGACTACTGCTTCTGTGGGACCTAGGCTCCTTCCCATGGATGGAATTATATAAATCTATTCTCCTTACCCCGCCCTTTTGAAAGAAAAATGTTTATTGTCTACTATGCCCGGGCCCTTTGTATAGTTTACTTCCTTTTTCTCATGGAAAGCCCTCTATGATAGTTTTGTTGCAGGATTTAGGTATCATTTGGCCCTCCGTCCTTTTAACTTCAGCCTTAATGCCTGATTCCACAACTGGACAAACTGGATGCATGATTCCTACTATAAAGGAAAACCAGTGCTGATGACATCACTTTATTAACATCAATGAGAAGTGGCCTCAGTGGACAATTAATCTTACTTTCCATTTACTGTGAAAAAGAATTGCTTAGAACCAACTCACCCAAACTAAAATCACCCTTTTTGGCAGATGTCACCCAACATTTAATTGGATAACGTCTGACAACTCTATACAGTACAAATGTGTCAGTTACCTTGGGATATATTTTCTACCAAAATTACATAGATGTATCTACCAGT